ACCCTGTGGGTTTGGCAATAGATCCCCTGTTCCAACCCGACTGCTCGGTTGGAACAGGAGCTGGAGGTGCCCGGCAGTGCTCCACATCCTTGTGCTCCATGTCCTCATGCTCCATGTCCTCGTGCTCCATGCCCAGCCTCTCTGGCCGAGTCTCTGCTTCTCCTTCTGCAGAGCTCTGCTTTTTGCCACGCCAAGCAGGGCACCTCCTCCACAGCTCCATCTGAATGTCAGAGGCATCTGAGTGCTCTCTCTGTGATGCCCTAAGTGCAGATGTGACTCACATGGCCCATGCCTCTGTCACTCTGACTTGGAATCCAATTGATAATAGTCTCCATGAGATTAGAAACCACTCTATGGATCCAGCAGCATCTGAATAACTCTGAGGCTCTGAAAATCAAATGCCTTTGGTGACTACACAGGTCACATAAACCTGGGAGCCGTCACATTGAGTCAGTGGTTGATAAGGTTGCTTCCCTGTTTCCAAATGACACTTTAGCAAGTTGCACATTTAAAAGACTCTGTATGGAGACCGAAGATGGATGTGGAAACACTGGGTCCTCATACTGTTCTCTGTACTTTGAATACGTGTGGAATCTTCCATAGTAAGAAAGTTTAAAAAGAGCCATCTGTAGCCAAGGACACACCAGCCTTAGTCTCCTAGTTGTGGACACTCTGTGCTCCCACACACATTTCTGTGGCAGATGGGTGGCCCCAGGCTCACACTTGGGGTGAAGGAAATTGTTTATCTCCAGGCTGCTTCCAATAGACTCTCTCCACCTTTTTAAAACTTACCTTTCCAGGAGCACAAAAGGGGGGCAGCCAGGGTCCTGCTGTATCCATGAGGCAGGTGACACCAGGGTGGGAACATCAGTGGGATTTAGGATAAGAAACCTGCCTGAGCAATGCCTGGTCCCCACTGGCCACTGGTCTTGACTTGAGCTGTGAACAGGGCTCTATGAGGTCATGATGATGAAACAGTGCAAGATTCAAACTCACCTCTGACCAGGGGCTCACACAGCTCATGCACACCATGTTTCTGCTGGCCACAGGGGCAGCGAGTGGGGTTCAGCCAGCCCTTCCTGAGTGACAGGCCTGGGGCTGAGGACTGTAGCTACAGAAACGGTTAACCTACTAGGAAGTAAGGTGGCTAATCTATGAATGTATATACCAATGCTGGCAGGCATGGGGCTGTTCTCTGAGCAGAGGCCAGGGCAGGGTCCCCAAGCCAGCTGTGAGCCCACGCCTATCCCTGCCTGGGGTCTGCACTCTGAGGTTGGCCTTCATGGGGACTCAGGATCGCAGAACCAGTGATCACTACATCTTAAAACCAGCTGTGACCCTCGTGTTTGCTGGGGACACAGGGCCACTTTCCTTTTTATCAGACTTCAGGGGAATGAAAGTGAGTGTACCTTCCTTCCTGCCCACCGAAGGAAAACCTTCCAGGTTTCTGCCTTGCTTGAATGACCAGGAGGCCAGAGGGTCAATGGAAAACCTGGACAGTGCTCTCCTCTGTCCCTCCTCCCCCAGCTGCACTGGAGACAGACCCGCACAGCACAGGGATGATGCTCATCACCAGGCCTGGTGCAGCATGGTCCTAGATGCTGGGTGAACTCCACTGTGTCAGCCCCTGAGGTCCCAATTCCCTCCAGCCATCTTCCCCCAGGCCCTACCTTTGTAGACTATGCCAATGGATTTCTCAGCACACACGCAGGTGTCACTCAACCTGATCACAAAGGCTGATGACCTGGAACAAGGTGATTTATGGAGATTGGAGAACAAACAGTCTAACAGGGTTGGTTTTGCACTCTCCTAGGAATGCCTGAACACACACCACCCAGACACACAGCTCTCGCTAGGAGAGCCACTTCCTAGTCCTTTGAACTATTATGCCTTTTATCTTTAGAGTTTAGTTGAAAGAATCAACAGAACAAAAAGCGTCAAAAGTGGAGTGGTAGATCCCCTTAAGAAGGAAATGAGCAGAGATGAGTCAGGGATATTGTTGACTAGCCCTGTGATAGTCCTCAAGAACAGAGAAAATGATACAAAGGGCCCTTATATCTTTGTGTACATGAAACCACTCTTAATTACATTTTTTTCACATTGTTATTCATATTGGGGTGCTCCCCACCCCTTTCTTTTCTAAACATTCTTAACAAGTTCTATTTTCCTGACTGGCTCTTGCATAAGCTGTGGCTCAAGACACAGGAATCGTGGCCAAGCCGGCCTCTTGGGGGCTCTGGGGCTCTTGCCTGGATCCCGGTGCTGCGGTTTCAATCCTCCTGCAGGACAGACCCACGTGAGTGCAGCCAGGTGGGGGTGTACTGGCAGCAGGGGCTCCCCACCTGATGAGTGGTGTGGCATGGTGGGGGGCCCTGTACCCCAGAGCCCTGGGTTATTCTACCCCAAACTTAGGATGCCATCTTGCACACCCACAACAGAAATGTCCAAGGTGCTTCAAGGGGCAAGCCTCTCCATCTTCCCAACACACACCATCCCAACCTGCAGCACTGCCTCTCAGCTGCATGTGGTGCCAGAGGGGACAGAGATGACCATGGCTGACATAAGACACACAAGTGTTACTTTCATTCCCTAAAATCATTTCTTTAATAGTATGAGCACAGCAGTCAGAAGAGCAGCTGTCACACAAAATCATAACGGCCAGCTCCTCCCCAAACTGCCAACAAAGTCTACACGGCTTCTGGGACTTTCAAGGTTCCTGGTGCTAAAGATGGGTTGGAGGCTTTCTAGATATTAATGCAACACACACACACACAAACACACACACACACACTATTTGTATTGTTTCCTGAAGACAAAGGAAGCTTTGTGATCAAATGCAGAAGTCCACGGAGCACTAGGCAACAAGACCCTTGTTGGTGGCCTCCTATCTGCTGCTCTATCCTCACACCCCAGCCACCAGACGACCTTCTCAAGGTCATCTGGTGTGCTACCCATGGTCTTGGTCAGACACACGCTCACAGAACACGCACAGAAAC